CGAAGTTTCATTTTCGTCGCGCAAAGTCACTTTGATCGAGCGACGAATTGTGTTTCGTCGCGCAAAGGGTTTTTTTTACTAGTGTTCACTCCTTTGGCCATACTCATATTTTGGCGGTAGAAGGGCCATTCAAGATTCTATGTTCTTTTCATTTCATTCTTCTTTCTTATGTAATATGCAGGAATTATTTTCGGGACTTTGCAGACCTATGCTTTAGGGAATTTGGAGACAAAGTTAAGCATTGGATCACGATGAATAAGCCATGGAGCTACAGTAATAATGGTTTTGTAGTAGGAACGTTTCCACCAGGTCGATGTTCTAAATGTGACTATTTGTTATCAATATTTCCAATCGAGTAAAGAGTTCAATAATTATTTTATTAATGCAGGTTTATGGATCCTGTGATAAATGGACGCTATCCGCATACTATGCGACATATTGTTCGACATCGGTTACCAGAGTTTACTAAAGCGCAATCTGAGATGCTAAAAGGTTCATATGATTTTATTGTAGTAAATTACTATGCAACATATTATGTCACTGAAAATGGTAACTTTGGCCTTTGTGTAATCTATTGTGTCATTAGACATGCTATAATTATGGCTATTGAAGTACTACTTGGAATTAAAAATCACCTAATGTTGTACGTAGGATATGATGACATCGATGATCCCAAATTACCACTTGAGGAAGCTCTTATCGATAATCAAAGAGTTGACTATTACCACCGTCATCTTGATTATCTTAATATAGCAATCAAGTAAGCTTAACATCATCAATAGCAAGATTTCATTCTCACTACGTGATCAATAACTTATATTCTTGTTTTTAATTCATATTTTTTAGCAGGGATGGCGTTAATGTGAAGGGTTATTTTGCATGGTCATTGTTCGACAACTTCAAATGGGACTTAGGTTACACAGTCAAATTTGGTATCAATTATGTGGATTACAAAGATGGGTTGAAAAGATATCCTAAACTTTCGGCCTGCTAGTCCCAGAATTTTCGTGCAGCTTAAATGGACATGGAAATTAAGGTTTATAAGATTCACATATGCCACAGGTTTCAAATTACTTTTTTTAAATTATATCATGCTTTGTCCATGATACAAGTAACAAATGCCGAGTACATATTATAAAAAAGCCTAGCTAGAAGACGAGTACAAATGAATTATAGAACTCCAAAGCACCTTCCTCTTAGCCCTCCTACTTGTTCTTGGTTGTGCAGTTACAAGTAGTGGAGCAACTAATTCAAAGCATTCTGTTGCTACATATGTAGCGCTGCTTTGCTAAACCGGAGCAGTTTTTCGAAAGGTTTCTTATTTGGGGCAGCTGGATCGGCGTACCAGGTACCTCTCTCTTTGATGATCTCTGTTGTGCGGAAGCGTCAACCAACTGTGAGTGACAAATAAACAACAACTGGCAAGAGATAAAATAATGAACACAAAATAACACCAACAAGAACACCAAGATTTATACTGGTTCGG